TCAAGAGTTATCCTACATTTCGTGCGACTATAATTGGAACGAATGTTGCAACTATGAATTTGTGCTATTTTCTCTCTCTCTCTAGCAGAGGGAATCATTAAATGGTTATCTTGACATATATTGATCGATAAATAGGTGAAAAATCTGTAAACCCATTTTGTAGGTAAGATAATAGCACAGAGTGGAATTCCGTTTCGCTGGTTATCAAAGCAATCCTATTTCGATGACTTCTACGGCATATTATCAAAACAATTGTTTAGGCGAGATAAAATCACCAAATGGAGCTCCGTTTTCTGGTTCTCGAAGATATCAAACTAATAACAAGCTATCATTTAAGAACACTCATCGCCACTTTTCTTTCGTTGACTCACTCCAAAACCTATTTTTTTTTCACAACGCTCTTTAAAATCGGTAAGGAGAAGAAAAGCGCGATAAATATCCGGGTAAAATCCGTGGCGCAGATAAAGATTATATAGGACTTCATATGAAGAGGACGGGTATGATTAGGCCGAAATACTTCAGCCACCAGATTTGGTGGTGTAATCTGCTGAGCTCATGTTCGCTTTAATGAGTTATTTGATTTTTAGGCACGAGGTGGCAACGCTTGTGGGCAATAAATTCACCGCGGGGAATTCTTTCTCCATTATGGCTCGTAATAAATGAGGGAGCTCGATGTCATCAACAGGAACGGTCCTCGCGATTTTGACCCCGTCTTGGTTGCCGCGGCGCTTCCTACTAAGCTGGAGTTGCCCCGGAATAAACTCTTAGCTCTATTATCACGAAATTATCCAGCGGTTTTTCTAGGGGCATAATTAACCCTTGAAATTCCCATTTTGCAAAATCCCTAGCACTCGTACTGCCTATGTCTATGAATGAAGGGTATGATGTCCTTTAAAGTCTTATTTCCTCTATTATGGAAAAAAACTGCTGAAATATTTTTGAAAGTTCACAAATAGTATGTATCAGGTTAATTACAAGAAAACGAGACTGAAAATTTGGCCCGAGCTGTAAGTAGCAAGGTGGCAAAATAGTGCTGGGTTCACTTTTGTTCGGGGAAAGCAAGGCCAAAAAATTCCAAAAATTTTCAGTTTGAGTCAAAAATTCGAACTCAAATCGTCGTTTCTCGGACAGAGGAACGTGGTTCTATTCCAAAGTTGTTAAATACACACAAAAAATCAATTTTTTTACAAACATATACACAAGTGCAATTTTTATTCGAAATTCCTCTGATTTTTGCGTGAGATCAAAAGAAAAATCCGTGAAATTTTCAGTCAGAAATGCCTGAAATTTTCCTGGAAAAATTCCGTTTCCGAGGAAAAATTTTGTGAAATTGCAATGCAGTTACGTCCTTTCGTGGGCAGTGCAAGATTGAAGGGAGAGAGTGTTCCAATGCATTTGCTTGAGCTGAACACTCTATAACCCTTCAATTTTCCACTGATCAACTCATTAGAGCTCAATGTTTTATTCTTATTAAAGTTTTTTGACCTCGTTTTCCCCGCAAACAGTGTTGACTACAAGAACTATTTCACCATCTAGCTATTAACTGTAGTTATTTATAGTGTTACTGTCTGGAATTTTGGTCTTTTTTTCTCTTGCTTGACCTCCAAAGTTGAAATAACGTTACTTATAGACCGTGATTACAGGCCAAGATTTGAATATACATAAGGTGTTCATTTTCTAGCACGACAGCTTTTATCGAAGACGTTTTAACGATCACAGCTAATTCTTGGAGGCTGTCAACGTTCTCTCAACGACACTACCGTGCTAGGAAAATGCAGTATGGGTATTCGAGAGTTGCCAAATTTCTCCAGATAAAACGTGCATTCTTGGGGAAAAGTTATGCATATCTTTTCTTGAAATGTTCATGTTATTCTAAATTAAATATCATCCTATATCTTATAAAAAAATTGAAGAAAAATGGTCTCAATTTTCCCAATGAATTCGTGTTTTATTGAAGATATTCGGGCAACGTCTAAAGCCTCATACGCCGTTTTTCCTTGGCATTGCAGTATTGCCGTGCTAAGGAAGAACGCCGTATGAACCTCCAAGCGTTGTCAAATTTCCTTTGTTTAAATACACATTTTCGAAAAAACTTATGATTATTTTTTTCCCAGGTTTTTAGATTATTTTGTTCGCAATTTCAGCTAAAGTTCCTGAAGATTTCAAGGAAAAATATTCATAAATCTTCTTGAAAATACATATATTATTGGAAGAAATTTGGCAACTCTCGAATGTTCATACGGCGTTCTTCCTTAGCACGGCAGTGTACAAGTTGGCACATTAGCTCCAGACGCCCCTTCCAGATTTGCTCATTTTATTAAATTCGCAATATCCTTCCCTGGCAAGGATTCTTCCCGTAAATCATGTCGACATCGCTTTCAATTAACGCTTCGGGCCCCTCCCTCCCGGTCGCGCGGGGAAAAAACGAAGAATTAAACGGTCGTTAATGAATCAAGTTATAATTTTTTTCGCCTTTCCTTAGCACCGTGTCTTTGCAGTGAGTTACGGACGCCACTTCCTTTGTTTGCCGCGCCGCGTCCCGCAGCGCCGGCTCGAAGTCATTCTAATGCAATTAAAGGCGAGCGCTACGTTGCCTAATCCTCGAGAAAATTCCGATTTTTCCGTAATTAGTCTGGCCGATCGATGCATTTTACGACGCCAGCTGCCAGCGATGGGGAAGGAGTGGTGCGGGCCCGGGGAAGATAGCTTGATTAATTCTGTCTATTTGCAATACATCCTTGCCAAATTCTGCGTTTATGAGCATAACCCAATCTAACCTAACCTAACCTAACCTAACCTAACCTAACCCAACCTAACCTAATCTAAACCTAACCTAACCCCGTAATACGGAATAAAGCCGTAACTCCAAATCTACCGTGCGAAGGAAGAACGACGTATGATCATTCGAACGATGCCAAGTTTCCTCTCAGAAAATATTTAATTTTGAAGAAGGTTACGGACATTTTTCCTTGACAATTTCAGGCTTTCTAGATCAAATTACGAGCAAAAATCGCTTCATATTTTAATTGCTTTTGGCAAAATTGTCTCACAGTAAAAGCATGGAAAAAAGTGAAAAATTGGACCGCGTTAAACAGGAAGGAACCAAGCCACATCAGCTATTGCCAAATTTAATCGGGCATTTTAATTTTTTACATGAAAACGGTTGTGCGGATTTGTGTGCAAATTTCAGTGAATGTTCTCCATAATACAAAGCAAATTCTTTAAATTTTTCAAAGGAATCTGCATTTACGTTCTTTCGTAAAAAATGTAATTTCCCTGTTTTTGCATGGCAATAGCTGATGTGACTTGGTTCCTTTCTGTTTAACGCGGTTCAATTGTTCTGATTCTCGAGTATTTTGTTTTAAAAAATGTGAACATTATTAATATAAAAGACAGGTGGTTCGCTCACTCAGGGCCCCGAACTTGGGGCCATCTAACAAAGTGATAGAAGCCCCCAATCTTTGACATAGCTTTCTGAACTTATAAAGTAGAAGGTTTTGGATGTGAATTCGATCAAATTCTGAATGCAATATTGTGTGCAGTGACAGGAACAGCGCGGAAAAATAACCACAAAACTGTATCGCGAGCATTGTCACCACAAAAGTGCACAATGAAACGATCTATCCCAAACACAAAACCATGTAATTATTTTCTAACTTTGATAAGGGAGCGTAAAAAAATTACTCCTCGGTTCGCACGGCGCTGGCTTTTTTCCGACAGCGCATTATACATCCCTTGCAATAACAAAATTGTATGTCGAGTTATTTGTTTTGTTTTTTTTTTGCCACGTTGATGCGAGGCAAAGAGAAAAACGCTAGGTTGAGAATCGCAACGAAGAGAATGATGAGATAAAAATGGGGAAAGTGGGGCATTAATGTTTCGCTGCCCCGGACAAGGGACCGGGAAGGAGGAGTAGATAAATCAGATGATGTCACACGATAGCCAGGCTCAATGGCGACGAAAAAGAGGCCCGAACAGCCCCTGGGAAGCTATGCAGCGTGCATCACTTGTCATCCCGTCGACAATGTTGCCAAAGCGCACATTATTTTTTTCCATCACAAAAAAGTGACTAAAGAATTTATGTATCTCGCACATGTTACTATCTACTACGTACATCAGAAAACTCTTTCTGCAGTAGGTGTGGAGCATTATACCATCGCGTGAGCAAAGTCTCGTATATTATCCTGCGTGAAGTTTCTAGCTGTCTAAAAGGTAATTCAAGCTCACAGGCATGACAACTGCGCTAACTTATATGGTCGCACCTCTGCTGAGAGAATTTCACTATTTACAGGGCGAGCGCTTCCTACTTTAATTCTAATTTGAACCACCATCGCAGTCTAAACTTCTGAAACTTTTTAATGGACTCGGAGGCTCATGGCTGGTAAAAGCAGTAACGTATTTTTTTTTCTTCTTTTTTGCAACATTTTACGTGGGAGTAGTGGATGTTTTGCCAGACCAACCCCTGCTCATGTACAGTGTCGATTTTTGGAAACTTGAAGAGTGTTTTCCTGTATTCAAATGTATGTAAACACATTGATTCCGGGAACAGACAGCCGGCAGCCCCTTTGGAACGATTTTCACTTAAGTTTTAACAGACCATGCATCAAATATTTACAAGTTACGACACATCTCTTCCGGGTTCCCAACCTGCGGGATCTCAACAAAAATATGCGGGCGAGAAAAATCGCATGGAAACGAGGTTGCCCCAGAGACGACATTCCGGGATTCCGGGAACCCGCGTCGCCGGGCGCGGTATGCAACAAGCGCTAACCCGTCCAAATTGACTCCCTCCGCGCCGGGCTGCGGATATCCGGGGCAGAGGTCGTAAACAGCCACCATCCACATCTTCAGAAACCGCGTATCTTCAGCGCGACCCCCTCTGGGGTTGCGGGGTTCTCGCCACGGCATGGGTGACGGGGTGGGGGGGGGTGTACTGGTGCAACGCAACGTGCGCTATGCTAACGAGGTTGCTGACGGTGCTGCGATCTGGTTTGTTGCAGAGTCTTCACAAGGGCCTCATGAAAAGCGTCTTCTGCACACCCTGTTGGACACGTACAACACCCTGGAGCGGCCGGTAGCCAACGAGTCGGAGCCCCTCCAACTGTCGTTCGGGCTCACTCTCATGCAAATCATAGACGTGGTAAGTCCCCCTCCTCTGCCTCTTCTTCCTTGTAGAGCATTGAGTTTGCATTTGTGCAAGTTATAAATGTATGTATGCGGATTCGATACGGAAGGAGACGGGGTGTTAGCTCCGTTTTCCTTATGTTTTGAGATCCGAGAGAAGAGAGGTAGTCTGCAGTGCTGAGAAAAAACGACGTATGGACCGAGTTTAACAGAAAGGAACTAAGCCACATCAGCTATTGCAAAGTTTAACTGGGAAATTAAATGTTTTACGAGAGAACGTTTGTTCGGATTTCTTTGACAATTTTAAGGAATTTGCTTCGTATCATGGAGAATTTTCACTGAAATCTGCACGAAAATCCGCACAACTGTTTTCATGTAAAACATTAAATTGCCCGATTAAATTTGGCAATAGCTGATGTGGCTTGGTTCCTTTCTGTCTAACACGGTCCATATTGGCCTTCAGGCGTTGTCAAATTTTGTCTGATAAGACAGGAAGCTTCCGGGAGACTTGTGAATATTTTTCTTCGGATTTTCCAGATACTTTTATCCGCAACCAGATGTAAATTTTCTGAAAATTTCAAGTTGAAAATTTTATAAATTTTCACAAAAATCAATATTTTATCAGAGAAAATTCGGCAACACTGGAATGTTTATAAGACATTTTTCCTTAGCACGACATCAGTGTCTTTTTTACCCGCGTAAGGAATAAAGTGAGACCGGATCTATGAAAAGGGATCTTATCTTCCGAAAATTCAAATGAGTTATTGGTAGCTCTGCACAGAGTAAAATAATCTGGAAACTTTGGCGCAAGTTGGACTTTGGAGGCTCAATAGTCAAGGGGGGTAATTTTCTTGAAGTTAGTTTCAACACAACATTTCTTAAGTTTCAGTTTAAGTTGAAAGACACATAGGGGAGTTAAGGTCCTTTTTAGATAATGTTCAGGTGTTCGACATTTGATGAATTGTGTACATAAATGGAAACTATGGATTGAATTGAACACGAGGATACCGTTGATTCATAAATTGAACAATTACTGGAGGAGAAATGACACATTGATTTAATCTGCTTAAATACACGTGTTTAGATGGAAAATGATGTCAGAAAACGTCACTAGGCGGTACATTTTCTCACTTTTAAATCCAGTTTTATACTATTTCTTAGAGCAGAATAAATTTATAAAAAATACTGCGAAATCAGTTCTTTATGTGCTCTTAAATGAAGCATAAAAAATTTGCTGCAAATTCTCCATTCTGCATTTGCACCGAGAAAAAAGATTCATAGAAATTACCATTCCTTCACGCTGTATTTTACACAGTGTCAATTTAGAATCAATTCTGCTCAGAGAAAGGTAAACGTTACTATATACTGGTACAGGTAACCATTCCTCTGGCAGAATCGACTTTGAATTCACGCTGTGTAAAATCCAGTATGTGAAGGAATAAATTCTACCAATCCTTGTTCTCGGTGTGTACAGGAAACGACAGCTAGCTTTTTTTCCGGTGAGGATATTAATCTAAAACCATGCGTGACTTGTTCTTAAGATATTTTATTTTGTAGCTGTATGAAATCCATGAATTACTGCCGTATCTTAGTTGTCTGGCATTCGCCGACTCCCTGATTAATCAAACTTAGATACATCAGACACCTTGGGCAGCGCTAGACGAAAATTTACTGCCTGAAATATTTGGTGTCCAGACATTGGAGGTTGTAGGGTAGCCTGTTTTGGAACTCGAATCACGAGTGGGCAAATATTTAACCAGCAGGCGTGAGTGGTTCCTGGGCAGGAGGCCAAAACACTAAACTGATACAAACGAAAAAACAATGAACTTGTATTAGCCTCAAGACATCGAAAATGTGGGGCACAGGCTAACGACCTTGTTGCCGTCTTTCTCCAAAATTGGTACCATTTGAGAGTCTTATTAAAACAAATTATAGTGGAGAATACTGAATCCTCGCTCATTATTCGAAGGACATAGAAATAAACTGTCGGAATCGCTTACATTCTCGCAATTTTTGACTGGCCGAGAAAAGAAGAGGCCTAATCAAAATTGGCTTATTAATTTAGTACCATCTTTTTTAAAAACATTTTTTCTTGATTTCAATAAGATTTAGCAACTAACAATGGACCACTAGACAAGGCACGAATTCAAGCATTCTGATACATGTTTCTTAATCAGAATTTCACGTAGAACACGATTCGCGCAACGAAATTTACTGAAATTAACTCCTGACGAAGATATTAACCTTTTTATTTCACATTGGTTACGCGGATTTTGAACTGCCCGCTCACAAGAAACTCAAAGCTCTACGTGAGTCAAATCGCGCACTACAACAGTTTCAGCATGCCTCTCAAGCGAGCACTGTTCATTTCCCACCATGTGTTGTTCAAATCATAAGCAATTTGCTATAGCTGAGCCAAAGCGTCAAAATTGTGGTTGCAAGATTTTCATATCGCAGAGACTGTCACGATAATATTCAACGCGCGATGTGAATCACGTGGAGCATTGAGTTTTATTGAGCGGGTGGTTTGAATTCACGCATCAGGAATCATTAAATATCTTCGTAAGGAGTTGATTTCGGTAATTTTTGCTGTGCGCATCGTGTTCTACGTGAAATTTTGGTTAAAAAACATGTATCAGAATGCTTAAATTCGTACCTTGTCTAGTGGTCCATTGTACCAGGACCATTAAAAAAACCTAATTTCCTTGCCAGACAAAAATTGGAAAGGAACCGACGAGGCACACCGTTGTATCAGTGGTACAGAAACGAAGCAAAACCGCTCTTCCATGATAGCGAAGAAAGTAGTAAGTGCCTCTCTGGATAAGCAATGATTAGCATATACTTTTATGTGTCTCGAGGCTCCGCCCAGCATGCACTTACTGCTGTCTTCGCTATCACGGCAGCGCTGCAGAGGGCGCAGGACTCCGTAAGGGGTGCGAAAATATCACTGTCTGAGAACTCAATTGCAACTTTTTTCATACATAAAGATATAAGAAGTAGGTAAAATGCACATCACAACACGCAATGTTTTCGGAAAGTTATTGATTTACTCGGATGCATTTCGGGCACCATCTGTCAGCATCTACTAATAGCATCGGGATAGGATTTTTAGAAAAGTTGTGATATTAGTGCCTTAGAATTTTTAATTTTAACTTTTTCTGCTGAAGGGATGATGATGCCCAAAATGCATTCGAAGAGATGGCAAATTTTTCGAGAGTACTTTGTACTATGGTATATGTTCTACCTACGTCTTATAGCTCTAATCATATCTGAAAAAAACACTTTAACATAGATCCCTAAAGCCTTGAGTTCTTTCTCCAGATCGCAATAAGGGAATTTTATTCGGCAACCGTGTATCGAAACGAGAAAACCACGAAGTTCATCTATGAAACCACCCTTAAATACAGCTCCTTAGTATTATTATCACTTCGGCTTTGTTGATCTTGCCCCTTACCCTTGCCCCGTCTGAAAGTGGGATGCCGCCCTGGAGTTATCAGCGAGAACTTCTGGATTTGCGGAACAACGCTCGGAACCGCCGATAAGTATGATTCATTTCCGTGGAATCGCGGAAGGGTTGCTATTGTTGCATTGACCATTCGGCTATCTCGAGGGGTGGTCGAAAGCCGACGCGGAGTTAAGTTATGAGATCAGTTGCTAAACGATCCTACTTCACACCAGTATTTTTAACCCCATCCGGATTCTAATGCAATGCGACGAATAACAGATATTCTTAGTCTTAGTTTAAAACCGTCAAAAACCGAGACTAATAAACATTGAGGTCACATTTCAAATAAATGGGGTCAAAATTAAAAACTCAGCCATACCTGCATGAATAAATTAAGACGTGTCCGTTAAAAGAAGCCCGAAGAGGTGCAAAGCATATTTTTGTGTTCTACTTTTGCCATTTTATTAAAAAAACTGACTATGTTCAAGGGTTAGTCTAGAGCAATAGATATAACGAAAAAGAATAGTTTCAGCATGTAACATCTTCAACATATGCTACATTTTGTGAGTCAGGTGCCCAAACACTTTTAGGTACAGCGAAATAACGTGAACAAACCCTTAAACACAGCACTGCTGCTGCTGGGTAACTGGGATCGAACTCAAAAGTGCTCCGCGCGCCGCCTTTCCTATGCTTGTCACATCTTAATTAGAGCTTCAATCGAAGTAATATTTTACAGGAGTCTTCTCTATAGTATGCACCATTAATCTACGTCTTCAAATCGAGCTTGCCCCAAACCTCATTTTTATTTATTTATCGCCACTTAAATCGGGCTATGGGACCATGGTGCGGAGCGGCGGCCGGCCGGTCAGAAAACAACGCACATTAGCGCCTACAAACCTAACTGGGATACTTCAAGCATCGCGCAATGCGTGAAGTATCCCCTTAGGTTTGTAGGCACCAGTGCGCGTTCCGCGCTGGCAACACGCCGCTCCGCTCTGTATCAAGCTCTAAACTCGCGGAGTCAGCGTTTTTCAACTCATGATTATGAAATGTTTGCACACTCTGCATGGATTATTCTCATTTAAATTGATGGGGGGGGGGGGGGGTTGGATGTATGAAAGGAAAATATAACGCCTGTTTTGTAAATATTTAGGTGGTTTCGTGTCAAATTTAGTGGTTTCCAACGCTTCTTAATTTTTTATTTTATATTTTGTACTTTTACTTTGCTGCAGCGTGGTTTACGCACAACTAAGCGCTCAAAATTATTTGGCTCTAAAAGATCAATGTACAAATGGGTAAAAACCAAATATTGCGTGCTTCTTGGTTTTTGTTTTTTGTCTTTTATTAATTTTTTGTATAGTTTGTTTCAAAACAACTGCAGCTCATCTAGATTAATATCGATGCCATCGCTTCGAAAAGGTTTTACAAAAATGTTAATAGCCTAGGATGCTGAATGTCTATAAATAAAATAATTAACTAACTCAAAGGAAGAAAGTAACATTTCATTTAAAAAATGAGTTACCATAACAACACCTCCTTTTATGTCAATTTTCCCATTTCAAAATTGTCAA